ATACAAAAAATATAGGGGAAATATTACCGATTTATATATATATATATATAATAAAAAATATTATTAGATTAAGGAGAGGTGAAGGAATATATCATAAGTAGAATTGTAGAACGTCACTCTGAAAAAAGGCTTAAGAAGAAATTACACTCTTTTTGTGTATATGTTGTATAAATGTTAGTTGTGTATATGTTACGTATGTCTTTTTTAATATTTATATTCAATAAAAACTATTTTTTTAAAAAAAAATAAAAAAATTAAAAAAAAACAACTAGGAGGCCTGAAGGACAGTTTACTGCATTTGCCGGTATGTAGAGTGTTTTGCATGATCTAGGACAAATGGAGGTGGGAGACGGTGGGGCGGTGCAGTTTCCAGATCACATGCAGTTGTACTCAAATTCAAAGGAAGGATAGTTGCCCTTTAGACCAGAAGAAATTTCTTGGAATTGAAGTCCATTCATCTTAAAATTGCTGAAATTGAGATTCACGACATTTAGACAGTCAGGCTTTGCCCTCCATATAGTTGGAAATCTTCATATTTTCAAACATAAAAAAAGGCTCTTGTGTAATATTTCTGGGCACATTTTTATTATGAAAACAGCAGCCTTAGATCCACCTAAGTAAAAAGAGCAGATTTATCTCTATAATCCCTTCCTGGAAGCTGCTCTTTGAAATTTCAAATGAAGCTCTCTCATTACTTGGATTGTGGCCAGTAGGGGGAAATTGAACTTTTACCTTTCCAATGCTGTCCCTGCTTAGAGTTATTTTCTCATGCTGCTAAGATACCAAAACACATGCACAAAACAAGCAGGGTTATTGTGTGTTGTGACTACTTTGCCCTCTACTTATGAGTTGTAAAGAATTGTGTGAAAATGACCCCTGAGAACTTTGAAAAAGCAGATTCATTCATCAGCATTCAAAGCTAACAGAGAACAATCTGTAGAATTAGTTTTAAAACAGTGGGTGTTAAGCCCCCTTTCCTTAGCCTGATTGCTTTTCAATTGTATGGAGCTGATCTCTCAGAACACACAACATGGCCATCTGACTGGAGAATTTTAGAAGCTAAAGTCTACATAACTACAGACTAATTCTAGCTTTAAAACAGAAGGTTTTGATTTGTGGTAGACTTTGTTTTGTTCCTATATAGCCTTTTCTGAGCCTGATCCAAACTCTGAAAAACACTTTGAGCAACTAAAAAATATATAAAGTAATTTCAAAATACTTCCATACAATAAAATTAAAAGCTGCAATTTAATTCTGGATGTCAATGATCATATTCAAATATCTGAGTAAGAGAAATATTTTTTTTCTACAATCTGAGCAAGATCTGTGGAACCACGTTTGAATTTTTTGACACCAAGAGGAATATCACAAAAGACATGGCTTTGTGACAGAATATGTACATTTTGCAAGCAGAAGAGTCCAGATTTAGTTGATAATATTTTAAAAATCAGGTAAGGGCTGATACCTTTGCATAAGATTTTGGAGAACTGCTCTCAAGCAGAGTAGACAATTAGGGTCTAAATGGATGGGCAGCATGACTATGAGGCAGTATCCTATGTATGTATGTATGTATGTATGTATGTATGTATGTATGTATGTATGTATCCAAATCCAATCTTTATGACAAGATTTTCATCATGTTTAAAAACCAGTTCATAAAATGACAAAAAACATATCTTGGGAAGCTGGTGAAATCCAAAATGGAAAACTAGAACCTACTATTTAGCAGACTCTGCATCTTCCTAGTGCAGGGGTGTCAAACTCACGTCGTCACGGCTGTGTCACGTGACATATTGGGACTCCCCCCCCTTCGCTAAACCAGGTGTGGGCGTAGCCAGCATGTAACACATCCGGCCCATGGGCCAGGAGTTTGACAGCCCTGTCCTAGTGGAAGCCCAGAGAAGAGGAAAACAAGCATGGTCCCATCCATCTTCCTCAGAAGGAACACATACAAAATGAGTTTGCTTTGCTGCCAAAAGTAACAGCAAAACAAAAACCAAAAAACACCACCTCACTTTGTAAGGAAGAAGGTTTCCTTCTGTGGTGGGTTTCAAAATTTTTTACTACCGGTTCTGTGGGTGTGGCTTGGTGGGCGCGGCAGGGGAAGGATTCTGTAAAATCTCTATTCCCTCTCCAATCCAGGGGAAGGTTACTGCAAAATCCCCATTTCCTCCCAATCAGCTGGGACTTGGGAGGCAGAGAATAGATGGGGGTGGGGCCAGTCAGAATTTTTACTACCGGTTCTCTGAACTACTCAAAATTTCCACTACCAGTTCTCCAGAACTGGTCAGAACCTGCTGAAACCCACCTCTGGTTTCCTTCCTTCCAACATTTTCTCCCCTCTTTCTCTCCAGGTTTTTAAAATCAGGAATAATCCATTATTCATTTTAATAAGTTACTTTGGGAGTTTTTGAGCAAAAGCATATATATGTCTCTGAAGAGCAGATTTTTTAGAAGCTTTTGATAAATATACAAATATTTGTCCGGTAATCTAAAAATAGAATAATCAAGTCAGGATGAGGAGCATAAAAATATACAAATGAAAGCTGTAATTTAAAACCAGCTGTTTTAATGTTCAGTGGAATTTGGCTGCCTTTATTTGTTTAATTCAAAAGTTCCCTAGGAATGAAAGTCTAGTTACAGGCCATGTAAGTTGGCTGGAGAAGAGTGGAATTTGTATTTTCCCACATCCTTCTTGCTTAAGCAAGTAGTCTGCAGCACACGGCCTGATTTCTGAGTCTTGTTTTATTGTTGACATGTGGCAATGGCAGCCTCTCTTTTTGCACATTTTGCTGCAGTGGCTGCTTAAGATGAAAGCCCAAACTAGGAATGAAATAGCTAGTTCCTACTTCTTTTGAGAACAGGGAAAATGTTTGCTTTAAGGAGGATTCTGTGCAAGAACTAAGCAAGAAAGCAAATAGGCAGATAGTATCCAATCTTTACATTTGAATATATACAATTCAGACTTGGATATCTCTAATTCTTGTTTTCAGTTTTGAGATCTCTCTATCTGATATAAGATCATGATGGAATGTTTTATTTCTGTATATCTCCCCTCATATCTGATATTCTTTTTTGGTTGGGGGGACAGAGATGGACCATTTAAACCTTCCCACCTCCTGGTCCATGGCAAAATCAAGATGGAAAAACAGCAGTGCCAAATTATAGTGAAAACTCAATTTATTCATTTGCTTTATTGTTATAATCATTTAGTAAAGCCTTTCCCAACTTGGGATCATAGAATGTAAGAGAAGGGATGGTAGACAGTCCCACCCTCTGCACAGTACAGGAATTCATGGAACTATCCCTGAAGAAGGAATAGTTTCAACTTCCATTTGAAAATCTCCAGCCCTCTCCTGTAAAGACTGTATGGCACTTAACAAGTCTCACCATCAGGTCTTACAAATACTAAAATCCTTTTGCATGAAATATTTTGCATAATGATAAGATAGATTTATCGTCAGCAGCATCCACAAGAGCAGGATCAAAACAGGCAAGATGGCACTTGAGGGGTTATGATTGAAGTCCAATTCCTTTGTACAGTATGTGTGCATGATGCACATCCAAAAAAGGCAGGACTTCTATCCCAATGCTACAATTGCCATCCTGTCTGATTAACAGAGTTGGAAGGGACCTTGTAGGTCATCTAGTCCAACCCCCCACCCAAGCAGGAGACTCTATACCATTTCTGACAAATGGCAGTCCCATCTCTTCTTGAAAGTCTCCAATGATGAAGCTCCCACAACTTCCGAAGGCAAGCTGTTCCATTGGTTGATTGTTCTCACTGTCAAAAAATTTCTCCTTATTTTAACTGTTCTGACACTTCCCACAGCTATCATGGAGGTCCATTTTTTAAATTCATCAAGAATTGCAATGAGGTCAATTCCATGGCATCATCTTCTCTTGGATATTTGGGAGGAATGTTACAAACTGAATTTCCCCCTTCTCAATCTCCAATGTATGTTTTATAACACCTGACTTTATGAATCAATTTATCATATATTAATACAATTTATTTTAATTATTCAGAGTTTTGGGATGTTTAGATAGAAATACAATTTAAAAATATGTTAAATGAGTAACATGGACCTGTCTGCAACATTATGTCTTTCCTAAACTAAAATGCTCTACCTGAAATACATTGTGCAAATTGTCTTGTAGATCTGTATGATGAAAATGTGATATATATTAAAAAATTCCCTTCTCACTCCTATGGGTGGTATATTTGTCACCCTCAGTCTCAGGTTGGTTGCCACGATGTAAAAAAGATGTTGAGACTCTAGAAAGAGTGCAGAGAAGAGCAACAAAGATGATTAGGGGACTGGAGGCTAAAACATAAAGAACTGTTGCTGGAATTGAGTATGTCTAGTTTAATGAAAAGAAGGACTAGGGGTGACATGATAGCAGTGTTCCAATATCTCAAGGGGTTGCCACAAAGAAGAGGGAGTCAAGCTATTCTCCAAAGCACCGGAGGACAGGACAAGAAGCAATGGATGGAAACTAATCAAAGAGATAAGCAACTTAGAACTAAGGAGAAATTTCCTGACAGTTAGAACAATTAATCAGTGGAACAATTTGCATCCAGAAGTTGTGAATGCTCCAACACTGGAAGTTTTTAAGAAGAGATTGTATAACCATTTGTCTGAAATGATATAGAGTTTCCTGCCTAAGCAGGGGGTTGGACTAGAAGACCTCCAAGGTCCCTTCCAACTCTGTTATTCTATTCTATTCTTACATCAAAGCAAAGGAATATGGGGAATAGAAAAAAGGGAGTGGAAGGATCAGAATTCTCCCCCATCTCCCCCACGTCCTCAAACATCCCAGATTTTTCTGTGCAGGTTCCAGCATGCTATCACTTAACTCAAGAAAAGAAAAGGATAAACAAAAACATATACCTAATATATTTTTTGACTGCTACAGGTGGAATGATGGGTGAACAGATATTATGTATGGATTTACGTACACTTTTTTATTATTATTAATCTTCCACTTTTTTCTTTAGGAGTTGAAGCTGGATTGAGAACAACAACCTCCTCCAATTTGTCATTGCAGTAACAACTCTGTAAGGTAGGTGCCTAAGACAGAATGACCGGCCTCCAAACAACTAGTGAGCTTCTATCCTGAGGGTGGAGTTGGGCCTGAGGTGGGCTTCTTCATCCATTATCTAGCCCTGTGGAAGGACTTCTGAATTACGGCTCATGAGAAACTCAGATTACCACAGATAGGAGATGGTGGGGAATTTGGCAATATTTTGATCTAGAAGAATGTATCTAGTAAAGTGTGGAAGAACATATACATTATTATGTATTATTTATTTTATTATTATTTATTTAGTTTGTCAAACACGGACGAGATAACAGATATAAGTATAAACATGGATATGAACACAGGAATTGGATACGAATAAATGGAGACAGTAGGAGAGGGACGGTAGGCACGCTGGTGCGCTTATGCACGACCCCTACAGACCTCTTAGGAATGGGGTGAGTCAACAGTAGACAGTTTAAGGTTAAAGTTATGGGGGTTTAAGGATGTAGCAACCAGGGTGGATTTGATTTAAATCGAGTTGATTTAAATCACGATTTAAATCACGATTTAAATCACTAGTAAAAAGGCTTGATTTAAATCAACTTGATTTAAATCATAATTTTTAAAGAGCAACTGTCATCTCTGCTACTCCTTTGACCCACTGTTGACTCACCGATAGTCCCAGTGTTGCAGAATATATAGCCTCATGCTATATAACTAAGCTCCATTTCATGCTGAATAAACTAAAGTATTTATGTATCTTAAATAGAAAACTATCTTACGATAGATTTTTACCCCAAAAGTTTTTTATTAAAATAAATTCAATAAAAATAAAAAAACCCGATTTAAATAAAAAAAAATCCGATTTAAATTTAAAAAATCTGATTTTTTTTGATTTTTTAAAAAAAATCATTGATTTTTGTCCACCCTGGTAGCAACAGAGTCAGGTAATTCCAGGCATTGACCACGCTGTTGCTGAAGTCATATTTTCTGCAATCGAGTTTGGAGCGGTTTACCTTGAGTTTGTATCTATTGTGTGCTCGTGTATTATTGCGGTTGAAGCTGAAGTAGTCATTGACAGGTAGGATGTTGTAGCTGATAATTTTGTGTACTACACTTAGGTCAGACCATAGGCGGCATAGTTCTAGGTTGTCCAAGCCCAAAATTTCAAGCGTGGTGGCATAGGGTATTCTGTTGTGAGCAGAGGAGTAGAGTACTCTTCTCGTGAAATATCTCTGGACTCGCTCAATTGTATTAATGTCCAATATGCAGTGCCGATACATAATGACAAAAACATTCAAAATGCCTTGTCTCTGAGTTGGAACCTAGATCTTTGACTTCAGGGGACTGAAGCCATTTAACTGGTCCTGGGTGCTGACTTTGGCCTTCTTGAACAATTCTAAGCATGGGGGGCAGGAGATAGGGACATGCATCCTAGCCCATCAGACTCCACCCTCTTTGTGTTGGTTGGAAACGCCTAAAAAAGTACATTTCTGTGGTTGTTTCCTGATACAGAACTTTTTTGATCTCCATTTTTGGCAGTCATTTCATTCAGAGCTTTCAACAACAATAACATGGCATCTGGCTGCCTTTTCATACTCTGAGAAGGGGGGAGGAGAAAAATCACTGCAACTCCAGATGTGTCTTGCTTTTTCTTTTTTCTTTTAAGGGCTCAGCAGAAGAGGAGGAAACCTGGAGAAGGCCTCATGTTGTCATGGCAACGGCATCCCTGGCCCTGATCTGTAGAGTAGGTGCAATAGCTTCCTTGCTGAGGCCTCTTGAGGGTTGTCAAAAGTCTATAGGAACAAAAGAAGCCAAAAAGACAACCTTGTTTTCTCAAGAAGACAGAGGACATGGAATAGAGGGATTAAAGACCAGTCACTAGATATTTCTTCTAAAAAAGACACTGCTGAGATGATTGTGCTAAAAAGGGAATGTAGCTCTTCCCAATATAGTGATTGTGATTCTTTCCAATTAGAAACAATTTCCATGTTGTTGCCAAAAAAGGATGTAAATGCAATTAAGCTAAATTCAAGGGCATCTTTATGTTGAGATCCACTCACTTCAGTTTTTGTAATTCAAAGTATCCTGAAAGACTAAATATGCTAAAAATGTAAGGTAAGCTTTTTACAATTTACAACAATAGCATACATTACAGTCCTTTATGTTATCTTATGTGGTATCAGTTGCCATCATTACAATACCTTCTGCTCATTAATGCTATGCTGTCTGGGCATTTTAACACGAATTTTCTACATTGCAAGAGAGGCTGCCCATTTTACCTGATCCAAAATTTGTTTATAATCTAACATTCCTATGCAATGTAATTGATTCCTGAAGCTATGGAAACCCAACAGTATTTCATATAATTTTGGAATTAATAGGATCTCATTTCTATTATGACATCATGATAAAAGGTTTTCAATTCATGAACTAGGTACTGAGCTTAATTTTCCTTTTCTTTTATGAATAAACGTAACATGATGTTTGTAAATTTTTCTGAGAATCTTTTTGACTAAAAAACAAGCTAAACATTTGTCAAGCACACACATACATAAGCACCATCAACACATCTACAAAATGTAGGGAGAAACTATACAAATTAAGCCTTAATGTTGGGATATGCAAGATCCTGATGTAGAATGAGATTCTCTTGGTATCATACAGTTTAAAACTCTTGCAACCAAACAGATTAATTCTTCAACATGAGCCTTTGGTGTTTTTGCCTGAGTTTTTCTCCTTTCTATAACAGGCCCCGTTGCACACAAGCAATTTTAGTTCATTGTTCTTGGAAAACTGAGAAGGGTCTATTAGCAAAAGTATCCTTTGGAGGTAAAGCTACTTTAAAAAACAGACACTGATCTCTCAAACTATGGCCTATTTTTCCTGTCACTTTCCTTTCAACTATTGCCATTCATATTAGATTCCATCAAAAGCCAGTTTGCCTCTGAGTTTTTACTGCTTCTTTGAGACATATGTCATAGAGTAAAAGAAAATCACCAGTTTCTGTCCAGTGAAGATAACACATTACTTAACATTACTGCAATGATTCTAGTAAAAGAAAAAAAGCTTTCACGCAGAGTATGAGAAAATGGAAGGGAAAGACCAGGAGCTAGTGGGATGGACTCAGTTAGAGTAGTGATGAATGCACTGTTAGAAGACCTGAAGGATCAGGTTAGGATCATTGTGGAAAATATCTATGAGGTCACTAGGAGCTGAAAATGACTTAAATCATAAGATTGGAAGAAGAGATTTTGGAGTCTTCTATTCCAACACCCTGCCCAAGGCAGACCTTACTGCATCCCAGACAAATGACTGCCCAATCTTTTCTTGAAGACTTCCAGAGTTGGAGCCCCCACAAGTCCAGGAGGGAAACTGTACAACTGATTTAACTGTTCTTACTGTCAGTAAATTTCTCCTTAGATCCAGATTGGATCTTTCTTTAAAGTGCTTCCACCCATTGTTTCTTGTCCTGCCCTCAGGTGCTTTGGAGCCTGTGACAGCCCTTCAAATATTAGAAGACAGCTATCATGTCCCCAATAATCTTTCTCTTCATTAAAATGAACATACCTCATCACCCTTAACCACTCATCCTACAGTTTAGTCTCTAGACCCCTTATCAATCACAAGAAAATGGTGGCTTCATTGCAGTGGTGGGTTGCCCCCGGTTCAGATGAACCGGTAGTAAAACCGGCAGAAGGCTCCACCCACTGACCCGGACGTCATCAGAAGTGATCTGCGCATGCACAGGCACGATGCAAACCAGTAGTAAATGTAAGTAGAACCCACCCCTGCTTCATTGGAAGAGGAAACTATAGAATTGAAAATGGAAAAGTGCATTGTCTGTTTGATATGTAACTAATTTGCTTTGTTGGGTTTTTTGTGTTTTTCTGTCTGGTTGGAGTTTTCTACTTCCAGTTGGGTAGTGGAGAGTAAATTTTCAGAATTTCTTCTCAGAGGACAAATGACAGCACATTTAAACATATAGCATTGAGACTGCAAAAATTTGGTCAAGATGCCGATCTGTAGAACTCTATTACCTTGTAAATGAAGAATCAGCTATATCCATGGTGAAAGTGAGCTAAATTCAGAATTTACAATTCTACCATACGTTGTTCAGTATGTAGAACTAATTGCATTGTAACCAAAAGCCACAAGAAAGATGAGTGGTAGGAGAGAAATAGAGACCCAGTTAATTAGCACCTAATGCTGTTGGGATTTTGTTAAAGGGGGGAAAAAAGGAGGGGAGAGAAAATGTTGACTAAAGTCAAATGTTGGATTCAAAATACGGATCTCAGTTCAAAGAACTGAGTGATTAATTCCATTCACCAGGAAAGCTTTTGCCATTTTTTTAAAAAAAGCAGTAGCTTGCCCAAGCTTCTTCCAAGGCACTTGAAGAAACTTCAAAAGCAGCTTATGTGATGATACTAATATTACCATTCAAAGGATTTTTAAAAAGACTATTAGATGGATATATGCACACTTTTAGAAATGCTAAAATCATTTTTCTGGATTGAAATTCTAATGTTTGAGGATTTCAAAATGTCAGCTTTAAGTAGAAATGGAAATATACAACAAGGAAGTATTACAAATTCAGCATGGCTATTACTTCTTATTCCTATCATTATTCCAAATCAATCTATGATAAAGATGAAGGACAGTGAGATTTGGAACAGGAGACTCTATTGAGATTTTTCATTTCATAGATGAAATGAACTTGAGGTAGTCCTCAAGTTATGACCATTTATTCAATGACTATTTGAAGTTATGAGTTTGAGAGGTAAATTGGAGGCAGTTCCTTACCTTACTGAGGCATGGAGCTGAGAAAAACCAAAACGAAGTGGGTTGGAATGGGTCCTCAGCTAATGACTGGTAAAATTCACTTAATCATGACAATGGGGATTGCTGGGATTGCAGTTGTTAAGTGATGTGGTCAGAGAACATTTTGCTTTATGACTGCATCACTTAGTGGTTATTCTGGTCCCAATGGAAATAGTGTAAATTCTGAGTCCTAACAATGGTTGTCAAAGATTACCTGTAATTCTCTATGCAGGGGTGGGTTCTAAAATTTTTTACTACTACTTCTGTGGGCGTGGCTTATTTTGTGGGCATGGTTTGGTGGGGGAGTGATGTGACTGGGTGGGCGTGGCCAACTTTTTTTTTTAACTTTTAAAAGCATTTTTTTTACAACCTTAAGAGGTTGCAGGAAAAAAATGCTTTGAAAAGACTTTGACGATCAGGCAACTCAGCTGGGATCCCCAGAGGCTTTTAAAGGCATTTTTCCCCTACAACCTCTTTGGCCGAAGAGGTTGCAGAAAAAATGCTTTTAAAAGTAAAAAAAAAAAAAAGCCTCTGATGAGGTGGGTGGGGTAAGCGAGTGGTGACTGGGCATGGCCAGCCAATGTTATTACCGGTTCTCCGAACTACTACAAATTTTTACTACCGGTTCTTGCGAACTGGTGCGAACCTGGAGCAACCCACCACTGTCTCTAGTTAATTTTTACTGAAACTTCTCTATTTGATTTTCTTTCCCTGCTTAAATCAGAAGTGCACACTTTCTGCTGGCAGCAGGACCTAGAAGCTGTGTTCAGACTAACCCCCTCTCCAAATCTTCACAATATTATAGCATGAAATGAACAGAGCACAAGAAATAAGGAGGACAGTGGAAGAAAGGGAGAGAGAGACAGTATTATCTATTTCTGCTTACAAGGTCTGAGTAATACACAGCTTACTTACATTGTTCCAGTCACATTACTAGCATTCCAGACTAATGGGTCCCATCTGCAAGAAATATGCACAGCGCCCTTCTGCAAGCATTTTGGTTTGTGGCATGACATTTCCCTGCAGATAGTTAGGACTGTTCTTATAGGCATGGACCTGTGATCATCTCAAAGCAAATAATGAATGGTTTTTCATCTTGACTCTTAAATCTGCAAGTCAAAGCTCATTGCCCCCTCATTGGGATGATCTTTCCAAGAGCAACACTAAAACATTTTGTATGCATGTGGAATTACTGCAGACACATATTGACTTTATTATTAATTTGATTTTTCTTCCAGATCCAGGTTCTTCAATCTTTGGGGATATGAATACAGGAATTGGCCAAGGTACGATAGATCAGGTTGAAGTAATTGTAATGAAAGCTTTTGTTGATATTTTGGCATCGGAATACAGAAAGATAAAGAAGAAAAGTTTCCCCACATTTAGTAGGATCATACAAAGAGTATAGAGATGGAATTTAAAATAATAAAAGATATAGGGAATGGAAGCCCAATTGAAATTTGACACTTTGTTCCAAATGCAAAACTAATTAGGGAAATAAATAAATCTCAACCTATGGAACTGGAAGTGTTTTGATACATCACTTGTACTGTTACTAGCCATTTCTTTTCCAGACCAAGAATGTGTTTTCAAACCAGATCCCCACACTCCAATTGCTAATCTGCCTCTATTCCTGGAAACCAAAAAATTTACTGCAATTCAGTGGACCATCAGACAAGGAGCCTGTGACTTCAGCCAAAGACTTGTAATGGCATGATTCCTTCTGGTGTGACACGGAGAAATTACAGTTTCCCTCTTTGACAAATGGGAACAATAATTTATAATATTATAATTTATAATATTGTACATTGTCTTGAAATATGGTAGTAATGTGATGATGGTGATGATGGCAACATTATTCATTATTATAATAATAAACAATGTTATCATCATCACCACAACCACCACATTACTACCACATTTCAAGACAATATACAATAGTCCAGAAGGGTTATGGATGCCTATAATATAGGCCTTGTTGACACCACAATGATAAACATGCATTGTGACATCATGATGCAAGCTCCAGCCTTTTGTACATGAGCCACAATCACACACAAGTAGATGAATAGTTTGAGCTCTGACATTGCAATGCATGTTTTGTTATATGTCCCCTGCCTGAAGGAGATGACCAGGCTGAGCCTGAGAGAGGGGTCAAACACACCATCTCCCCCACTCCCCTATCTGCCTAGATAGATGGGGTTCGTATAGTTTCTTAACCAGGCAAGTCAGTGTGCCTTGAACAGCATTTTCTCACAAATGTAACAATTCCCCATCCTCATAGGAAACAAACGTTCACAGGGCTTTATTATGCAGAAGTGTCAGAAGAGCCTTTTCTGCTTCATGCTCTGTTTATACACTCTCTTCTTCTCTCCTCAAAAAATAAAATGTCCTCTGGTTCTTATTCAGCTTTAGTTCTTTTGGAATCATCGGTGCAGTCATTTGACTGTTATTTATGCTTGGAGGATAGTTTGTAATTAGTGTTAATGATATACTGATAAAGATTATGATGCCTTACGGATTTTTTTTTCTGTTTATAATTTTTGAATACTGTAGTTTGCGACTTATCTTGCAAAAGGTTAAAGGTTTTTTTAAACAAAACATGGAAAAATATTGAAGAAGAATCTGAAGTGGTTTAGCCCTATTTACAACTATAGCTCACAACGTCTCATAACTTTAACCACAAATTTCTGAAAGTTCCAGTTGACACAAGCACACACAATAGGAAGATCCAATAGAAGGAAAACTGACAATGATGAATTACCCTCCCCATCTGAGTCTGGTTGGCACTGAGTCCTGCATATTTGTGCATGTCCTGACATTTCCCATTCATCAGAGCTTGGCTCTTGAAATTTCTTCCTTCTTTTAATGAAAAAGGAAAATGGAAAACAGTATGTGTTTCATTTAATTCCTTGAAACATTTCCAGGGATTTCCTCTGCTTCTTATTTGGGGTCCCCTTTCATAATATTTACTGGAAGGCAGTCTTTTAAGCATCCATGCAAGGTGGGCCAGAACAATATCCCTTTACCTCAAAGTTCAGCAGTTTCAAAAAGACCTTTAGAATGGAACAGGCCCAATGCCGTTTCCTTTACTTTGTTGCTTGTTTTTTTGAATATTGTGATCTGGCAAGCATACTAGTCAGCTCTAGACCAAGAATCGAAAGTAACCAGAGGATTGAAACCGCCATATCTATTAATATCATATTTTTTAAAAAACCTACAGACCCACCAGGAAGAAAAGTGTTTCAGAATTCAAACCACATCCAATTTACAGCATTGTAGAACATCCAAGGTACTAAATACAAGACTACAGTTAAGGCCGGTTTAAAATATGAAACAGTAACCAAGTGAATGCAACACTAATACAAAGAGATATTTTTTTAAAAAAAACTTGCATAAAAATGCAAACCAGGCTGCCCTCCCCCCATGTTCCATTATCTCCTTTTTTCTCTGTGCTAAGACATAAATTGTCTGCATCTGTCACATCTGATCCTTTCAATATTTTAATAAGAGAAAGCAGAGAGCTGAAAAACGATTGAAATGATTCTCCAAGCCATGATGAGGCACTGATATTCTTTGCTGAACTCTTAGATTTGTTTGTTTGTTTATCAAATTTATATATAGCCACCCATCTCACAGGAGGTGACTCTGGGTGGCAAACAATTCTGCTCTACCATCAATCATAGTTTGTCAAATCCAATGAGCATCTTCTCTCTCTCTCTCTCCCTCCTCACCCCCCCCTCTCTCTTACACACACACACACAAACACACACACACACACACAATCTCCTGGAGGAGAAGTTTCAGGCACTTTTCATAGATGAGGGGCTCCTAAACAGATGGAAAAGAAATACTGTGTACATGGGGGGAAAGTCATTCATTCATTCATTCATTCATTCATTCATTCATTCATTCATTCTTCCTCTTTGCTGCACCCTCCTATTCTTTGCTGCTAGAACACCTGAGACAAGGAGGTGGGCATGATTGTGTAGCTTCAGAAAAGAAAGAGTGACTACTGTCCTGCTTTAGGGGGGACAATCTTTTATTTGAAAGATCAATCTATTTAAGGGATTTCCGATCCAAGAGGAAAAATCAGACGGTCTACTTTTTTTAATTAATTTATTTCTAAATTTTGTTCTACTTTATCTTTACATTTTACATGTGTTTTTTTCCAGCACCAACATTCCTCAGAGTGGCTTACAACAGATTCCCATCAGGGGTGAAATCCAGCAGGTCCTGACAGGTTCTGGAGAACCGGTAGTGGAAATTTTGAGCATTTCGGAGAACTGGCAAATACCACCTCTGGCTGGTCCCAGAGTGGGGTGGGAATGGAGATTTTTCAATATCCTTCCCCTGCCACGTCCACCAAGCTACACCCACAGAAGTGGTAGTAAAAAAAATTGGATTTCACCACTGATTCCCATCAATAGCTAGCACCCCGGCAACAACTCAGGAAGCGCTCAGGTAATTTATTTACTATGTGGAGATAAATTATTTCTAAATGTGAATTAATACATACAAATTAACAAATCGATTTTATGCAAAATTTAAATCTGCTCTTTTTCTGTCCTTTTTGCTAATGTAGCCTTCCTTCCTTCCTTCCTTCCTTCCTTCCTTCCTTCCTTCCTTCCTCTCTCCCTTCTTCCCTCCCTCCCTACAATGCTCATCCTAAACCATAACATAAAGATCAGAAAAACCTAATCCCAAGGATGATTCATCTTTCTTGTCTGTAGGAGGATAAGCTCCATTGACAGTTACAGATACTTGGCTGGCAGCACATTCTTGCCCAAGCTAAAGACAGAAATATCCAGCTGAGCAGAAAGAGAGAGATCTGCTGGAAGGGCTGTGCCAAGGCATCCAAGAATCAGGTTGCCTGACTGCAATGGGTGTGGTACTGACTTCCTTGCATCTTTGGAAGAAGTTGATCTCACTTAAAGCAACATCTGAGCATACTGGAGAAAGGAAAGTGGGAAGCAAACCAATTATTTTTTTTCCCCTTTTGACCCTGAATGGCAGAAACCTCTCACAGGCAGAAAGACTTCCCACTTGTTAAGCTCAAATTGAGACTGTGATAAACATATTATATGGCTTTCTTGAGCAATCCTGACTCTGTTTACTTGTTGTCTGGTTGGCTGGCTGGCTGGCTCCAAAGGGAAGCAAAACCATTCCAGATGATGATGTATGACATGTGTGCCAACTGGGGCTCCAGAATATAAATTAATTTTAAATAACCATTCCAAAATGCCATCCAATCCACAAAACAGTTTGTGAGTGTACATGGAAAATGGATTTAGCTCACATTGATGGCAGCCTGCTCAAAGAATCAGGAAAACAAAAGAAATTATGGGAGCCAGTTCTCTCTACATACCATGTTTCCCCCCAAAATAAGACCCTGTCTTATATTTTTTTGAACCCTGAAATAAATGCTTGGCCTTATTGCCATGGTCTCAAAAGCCCCATTGGGCTTATTATCAGGGGATGTCTTATTTTGGGGGAAAATAAGTCATTCACTTCTCAAGTAAAAAAAAAAACTATTAAAATGAAAAAAGTGCTCATATTACAGCGTACTGCCCTCTTTTATATGGTCTGAATTTTGCTAGGTCGGTCTCAATTATCCTACTGTAGACACATTACAGGAAGACCTTGCTTTCTAGAGAAGACCTTTAATGCTGAAAAAGGTGGAAAGAAAAGAAGATGACCACCAGTGAGGTGGATGAACGCACTTAAAATGGAGATGAATGCATTTTTGGAAGACTGAAACATCAGGTTAGGGACAGCTCATTATGGAGAAAATCTACTATGTCAGGAGTGTCAAACTCAAGGCCCCGGGCCTGAATCTTAGGCCCGGGGTACCTGCAGGATCATTTCCTACCATCCTCTCATCGTCCGGTGCACTCACACAGAGCGGGCCTCCTCAGGCTGCCATCAGCCAGACAATGTCGGCTGGCGGCCCCCAGGGAGAGAGCATTCTCTGTAGGAGCGCCGACCCTCTGGAATGGGCTGCCCACCAGCCTCAGGACAGCCCCTGGCCTCCTCTCCTTCTGCTGCGAATTGAAGACGTGGCTTTTTCACCAAATGGGCTGAATCCATAGGGGTGATTTTAAATAATTTTAATTAATTTTAAATTGATTTTAATGTTTATGTAATTTTTTGTTCGTTCTTGTAAGCTACCCTGAGTCCTTTGGGAGAAGGGCGGCATATAAATTACATAAATAAATAAATAAACAAACAAACAAACAAACAAACAAACAAACAAACAAACAAATAAATAAATAAATAAATAAATAAATGCAAGCTCTGGTGGCTCAGCAGACTAATTAACATCCACTTACATCTGCTGCCTGCAATTACTGCAAGTTCAAATCTCACCAGGCTCAAGGTTGACTCAGCCTTCCATCCTTTCTAAGGTAGGTGAAATGAGGACCCAGTTTGTGGGGGCAATAAACTGACTTTGTATAAATATACAAAAGAATGAAGGCTATTGCTTAGCGCATTGTAAGCTGCCCTGAGTCTCCGGAGAAGGGCGGCATATAAATCAAATAAATAAATAAATAAATAAATAAATAAATAAATAAATAAATAAATCTGGCCCCTGGAGTACATAGATCTGGCCCATGGAGCTGCCCTGGAAACAGCGAAGGACCAGCCTGTGGTTCTTCTGCCAGAGAAAACGGGCTCCTGAGGGCCGCCCTCCCGAGCTCCGTTGTCACTGGCAGAGGGTTGCAGGAGGCTGTGGCAGGCAAAAATGGAGCTCGGGAGCCTGTTTTCGCTAGCAGAACACTCGGGCCATCACAGGCACCCCCGACAAGAGTGAGGTCGAGCTGGCCACACCTATCCTGGCCACGCCCTACATCCCCACCCCAAGGTCAAAAACAACCCTGATGCAGCCCTCAATAAAACTGAGTTTGACACCCCTGTACTATGTGGTCACTAGGCGTTGATAGCACATCATCAATCAATTTTGAAAATCGTTAGGTAGGAGATTACATTTTGCTAACCTTCACAATTATATCTTTATAACCTAAATCCTTAATACAGTTATGGAATAGTTTTAAAACTCAAAATAGTAAATCAGTTCTCTTATCGTAGTTTGTGAATGCCTGTGCACCCCGGTAAAATTAAGAAAGAAGCAAAAAGAAAGAGGGAGGACCATGTTTTCCTTTTTACATGGCCTGTTAATTATAAATGGATTTTTGCATTTATGTGTGTATGCATGCATATATATAATATGCAATTTTCTCAGCTGGATTACATGGAACAGAAGCTGAATTTTTAATTATGTGCTGGGAGGAAATATAATTGTTTAGAGGTGTGGTCCCTTTGAACAGGTGAATACTCATTTCTTATAAGCAGTATTCGTGTCAGATAAACTTGAAAGGATTTGTGATGCTGTGAATTTTATCGTGCAGATTTTATCACCTTGTGCAGGGTGTTTACATCACTGAATTTCATTTATTTATCCTAATAATATTCATAGTCACCAGTTAGTAGTAGAAGCAGTTCCAGCTTCCTTTTTCCTGAACCGTAAGGGAATCTTTTGTTTGATGCAGTATTAATGAATTCTGTTGAAATAATTATCAGAACCCTCCAGGGCCTTGGATGTGAAAATATGATATGAGAAGTATCTTCCAGTCTTTGCAAAGAGGTCTGAGAGACGATTTGGTTATCATTGCAAAGAAAGGACAGAGAAAGGCAACCCTATCTGATTCTTTTCCATAGTCTGATGTAGTGTCAATGAATAGGTCGAGGAGAATGAGGCACAGGTCTGACCTCTGGCATAGAAATACACTTTCTCTGAGTCCAAAATTATTTACAGGATAGTTGTTGTTGGGAGGTGGGAAAGGAGGCAGGGGGAAAGCTGAAATATAAACCTAAAAAATAAAATAAATAAAAATATTTGTTAGGCAAGAGAGTTGAGACCACTGAAAAATCACAAGGTCAGGAGGAGCATACCTAAGTATACATTAGCATACAGAGAAGAGAGTATCAGCAAAAAGTATCTTCCTTCTCATAAAAAGCTGGATACAATTTTCCTTCCGTCAGAATTGGTGATACAATTACATGCAATCTAATATATTAAACATTATGAGCCTTTCATGGTGAATCAGAAGTTAAAAGGTCCAGAGCACGTTAGTATAATCGGATCCTTTTCACTCTGCTTAAAACTCAGTGCATTCAAGATGGGCCACGAACAGCTACTCATGACCTAGGGGCCCTTCAAATGTGTGAGCTTCAGTTCCAAGAAATTCCATCAATGGTGATGTTTGAGTTCCATTAGAGAATTCTGGAAGTTCAAGACCACATAATCAGTGCAACAACTTGCCTCCAAAAACTGTGGGTGCTCTAACACTGGAGGTTTTTAAGAAGACATTGGACAACTATTTGTCTGAAATGATATAGGATTTCTGCTTCAGCAGTGGGTTGGACTAGAAGACCTCCAAGGTCCTTTCCAACTCTGTTATTCTGTTATAGCTGGAGGATGTTCAGATGGTGTTAAATGGGGTAAGTAAGAGGAAGGGAGCAGAATTTTCTTCACTAATAAATACTATCAAGGCTGGGCACCTCTATTTTATGTGGAATTAAAATAGAAAGAATTGGATGAAAGATGTAAAATGAGTTTTATTATTCTATTTATTTATTAATCAAATTTATATAGCCACCCATCTCACCAAAGACAGTTCTGGGCAATGCATAACATTTCCTCTAACATAATGCCCAAGCAAACAACTGAAATAAAATGCAGTCATCTTCCATTATTATCCCTTCTCCAAATTCAGTGATTAAAACCTGTGATTAAAAACATAAAAAGTTAATATTAATGAAAGTAATAAACAAAAATGCAGGTAGTCCTTGATAAGAAGCCACAGCTGGAACTGACAACTCCATCCCTAAGTATTACGATCGCTAAGTGGAAAATCATACGACAGTGATGGACTTACATCACTTCCCATTAGATCATTAAGCAAACCAGCGCAGTTAAGTGAAATATCATATGACTGCAATTTATGGTTTTACTTCCACGTTCTCCATGGCAGGCCTTGCTTTTTACAATTTTTAATGGGAAAAGGTTACCCATTGTCATTTTGGCTGTAGAAGAAGCAATACTTATTGTCCAAAGGAGCTAGCTTCTGCTGTAATAGACATACCTTGCTGTCTCATAATGATTAAGAATTATACATTAATCAATTACAACAGGTCACAGTATGGGGTAAAAATAGTCAACCCTTATTATGCTTACTAGGAAATATAACTTGACTGAACATGCTACAGTTTATTTTCACCTATACATATGCTCAAGATTGTTCTTAAAATATATGTTAATCATTTTTAGAAACCCCTTAGTTTAATTTCCAGTGGACTCCGTACTTCTAGGATTCTTGTTTTTAACACAGTTCTCTAAATATCCAATTATGATCAAAGTAGTTATGTCAAACCGCAGAAAGGGAAAGTGGAAGAAATAACTAAATTGGTAATAAAGGAATCAAGGTTTTGAAATGGTTTATTCATGCAGAAACGATACAAAGCGTGGTAGCTAGACAATTTTACGCTATCTTGGCAAGTTTCCCGTTCTGTTCCTGAGTGCCCATTGGGTGGCACTGTAGCACCAACTGGGTGGCTCTCCTGATCTATAGGACAGTTTTTAATTACTACAGTTATATGGAAATTTACTTTGCTGCACAGGGGGTGTGGTGTGTCTGTGTATGGAAGAAAGTGGTAAAGGCAGGCAACTGATAAAAACACAGTCAAGGGAAATTCTACTCTCAGACTATGTCTGACTCAAAACGTTCAAAGTTTACTCTGCCTCAGTACTGGCATTCTAATACTGGAATGAATTCCAGTGAGGAAAATGTAGCAGATGCCGACCAGTGGTGAAGTCAACCATCTAGAATTCATAATTCCAAGGGGAAGTTTTGGAAAGAAAACTCCTTTCGTTTTCCATGAATAACTAGATTACAGAAATATCTAAAACCGATTACAGTGTTTTTAAATATTAAAGTCACATGAAGAAAATATCTAAGTGAACTTAAATTCCAAGAGAAGACATTTGAAGCAAAATCATGAAAACCTAGCTAGATTAAAGTTTGATTCCACTTTTGACAGATATTGGTCCTATTCAGTGGTGGGATTCAGCCAGTTCGC